TAGAAATTTTGTTATAACTAATAGTAATATTCTCATCACCAGCCGCCAGCCTGGCAAGTTGGTCGGCCCGATCATTCCCCTTGTCAGCGCTACAGAAAACCAGGTACAAAAACACAAGACGGATAGAAAACTAGGTACAAAACGAAAGAAACATTTTTCGACTTGAAAATCTTCTTACGTAAGTAAGTATTTAACGATTAATCGCATCTCGCTGGATTGTTCGTACTACCGGTGTCCCGTGCTTTCGGCCGTTTCGTTTTCCTCCCCTGTACTTGCGGTGGTGGCGTCGTGTTCGATCTGTTAAAACAACCCAAACGAATTATTAATTTGATGAAACACTAATAACTTTGAGTCGACAACAGTAATTGAAATTTCTTTTTTGCGCTTCCAGACGGCTCATAGCTGTACGAGTATGGTGGTGTACAGAAAATAAAATTACTCAATGTGTACACGTACTTGTGCAAGAATATTGTTGATTTGTACTGCCGCTTCCTCCAGTGTCCGGCGCGTTTTCAGCAGCTCCTGCCTGAGCGATTCCACTGGAGTGGAATCGTTGCCTCCCAGCTGTTGTGTGATGTAACTGTGGCAAAACAACGAAATCGTTAGCGTTGATCGACCTTACAAACGCGCCTCGTTTCGGTCGCGTCTTTTACCGAATTGTAACTTATCTATTGCGTCCGTAGTCTTTGCAAGAACGAAAATTGCATAAGAACATTACAAGCGAATGCCTTCGCGCATTTTTTCGAATACTAATAAAAAACAGGTAATCGGTTAATGGTATGTCGAATAATATACACGTATAACAGACACGCGTATAAATAGAGGGAAAAAAACATATTCGCCTTGTTAGTGTTCACACTTTAAATTTAAATCCTAACTATCGAAAAGGAAACTTTCCATGGTCCGGGTTCGTTTCGGTTACACCGCTGCGTCAGCTTAACGCGCCGAATACCGGTACGTTCAAATGTTGGTTACAAATACAAACGCCTATCGTTCGACTGTTACATACCGGCGATATTACAAACGAAAAAGTTACGGGCCGTCTCTCGAGTAAACGAACACGGTTAATGAAAAAGTTTTAAAAAACCTTACAGTAATGGGTCTTCCGGTCTCTCCCGTTCCCCGTACAGGTTGCACAGTGCTGCAAAGAAAGTGAAAGTTTTTGTTCGTAAACAAAATGTGTTTCAAAGTACCTACTACGAGCACGTACGTTGGACAAACAGTCCTTCCGTCTCTGTTCATTTCGGTTAAGTATACTCTTAAATACTTTACTTCTATCAGGAAGTCAGAAAGGTAAAAACGTAAAGATAACGAAAAAAGGAAATGAACCTGTAATCAGGGCCTCGTACACACCGCCGTTGTGTAGATACTCCATAAACAGCCGCAGACTCGGTCGACGACGACGACGTTCCTTTGAATGTGAATAGAACCGATATGCGTTCCGAATATTAGTCGTGTCATCGAATATATTTCGGGTTTGGAGAAAGAACTTTTTAAACTTTTACAGAATAACTGTTACGATAGTTACCGTTTGTGAAGCCATTCGGGACGTTGTTGGAAACAGATTTCGTAACTGTAGGAAATACTCCGGAATCGCAGACAAAGACGGCCATGCTGCCGACAAACACGTGCTCCTTGTCGAGCAAACGGTGCTACCACGCCCGTTCGTCACGTCCGAATTTACGCAAAAACTGTATAATAAGTCCTGATAATAGAAGATACGAATTTATAGTTGAAAATTTACATACGAAAGTTGTGCTTCAAAAGTAGCAAATTTGGGCGATCTGTAGCCCAAACATAAAAATGAATTATTTTGCAACTATGCAATTTTAGCAATGAAATTCTTAGAGTTAACATTAGGAAAAAATCTGATGTTTTAAATTTACTCAGAGATATTTCCAATTGGTGTCTACTTGACCAATCAGATTGTGTAATTTCGTACCTTCCGAGTATCGCGATTAACGTGACAATGGTAGGTTAAAATAATCAAGCTAAAAAGGTTAAAATATTGATATATTTTTCATTTTAGTGTTTCTTATACATATGAGCATTGCATGTATCTGTATCAATTTTCTCTCTTGTCAAAGCGAGTCATTTGTGGGCCCATGATGGGCTTAGGCCATTATGGGTTTCGCCGAGCCCACAAAGGGGCGACCGGGTTGGTGAGGATGAGCCCAGACATATTCAGACATATTCAGACAGATGGACACATCGCAGGTCCCTCAGAGTGGTAGGCTGCCACCTTGAGTTTAAGGACCAAAGAAGAGTCTCGATTGTAAAATTTAACCATGAAATGGATTATCTTGGTGACAGGGCGTTCAAAGTAGCCTCCTTGTGTGTAACAATTTGGGCATTGTGTGCCCTTACAAGGCTCGATAAAAGAAGAACTGGTTTATTTTGTGATTGTGATTTTTCATCTTGGAAGCCACATGTTAATATAGGTCCAGATTGAAAATATATGATCTGGCCTACTGTGAATTTGTTTTTAAATTTTAGCGGTAGTTGTTTCCTGTTTCTTCGCACCGTCCCAGTGCAGTAAGTTTCCTGGGAATATAGATGGTGAATAAGTGGTACTGACATGAAATAGTTGTCGACAAATATATGGTAGACCTTGTACTATCTACCCGTGGTCAGTAATTGACTTACAACAGTATAAACTTTCAGATGATATGCTTGTGCCCCTGGAATTTGGCCCCTTTGTAAGTGAAAAATCAGGCAGTAGTGCAAAGTGCAGTCGAACAACATCCAAAGTTTGATCCCCCATTGATGATGATGTTTTAGACCAGTGGTTCCCAACCTTTTCTAGGATGCGGAACACTTTTGTGAGCAATTTTGTTTAGCGGAACACTTACTTAAGTTAATATGAAATACATAAGGTTGTCATCAGTTATTTTATTAGAATTGAGCAATTATAATTCAAAATTTCTACTCATATTATTAACACCAATTTTGAGACAGGAAAAAATATACCTAAATAACTTTAATGGGAAACTTGTGCCTGATGTTTTTTAGATATTTCTTCTATGTTGGGACGTATACAATACAATGCCACCCTTATTTCTTCCCCCCTCGATGTGGGTTCCTGTCCGTGGTGAGGGGACCTCCCAGAGATGGCTTAGAAAACCTTCTTTGCCATCCCTGGGATCTGAACGCCCACCCACGTGTTTGCCGTGCCTGGTATCCCGTATGCCGGAAAGGGGGATCCTGGTAGTTGAGGGGCAACATAACGTCCCCAACACACTGCTTTGGCCCCTGCTTCGGATAAACGGGAGGCTCAAATCAGGCTCCGTTTGAGTCAATCGGCTGGTCGTTGAGTCATTCTTGACCTCGGCTTGGAGTCAACTGATCGATGCAGACCGGGCTGACACGTCAGACTAGATGTGCTCTTCTTGACTGCATCGTGAGGGTATAGCTCTTGGGAAACCCTGGTGTGACGGTCTATGGGAATCTCTCATGTGA